GAACAGCACCGAAAAACAGACAGAAAATACGACTACACTTAGGTGGATTTGAGCCTTCTGGTATCGCCAACTGCACAATAATCGCGCAACAGTATACAGAGGATGGCGATGTGTAAGCAATGAAGCATCGCTGAACTAAGAACTGTTGATGGATAGGTGTTCCAGCACAATTCAATCCCCAACAGTATTGCACATCTACAAGAATGAATTACGTCAAAAAGAGGCAATCAAAAAGTTTGCTTTGCTTTCTTTTACATTCATTGAAATAGCACGGTGGGCTAACTATTTCAATACAGTATGAACTGCCGGAAGTGGCAGATTGTGAAAAGCCGACAGTACTAACGCACTGGAAATTTTACAGAATAATATAATAAGTAAAATTTTACGTGCGCAAAATGTTTATGTAAAATAAGCAGAATTCACTATGCAAAATTTTTACATAAAATTGCTAGATAAAATTTAATTCTAACTTTTCATAGATTCTTTGTATTTTGCTTTCCTCTTTCTTCCCTGCTGTCCTTTTTGCCCTCATCGCAATATTCCTACTTCTACTGGTCAAAGCAACCGGTAAAATTGTCGGCCGCATAGTTAGAATATTACGTTACGATGTGTAACTGATCCAAATATTCTTTCAAGTGTATGAAGAATTTTAGCTGCTCTGAATAGATCGTTGAAAACCGGCACCGAATTTATGAACATTTATGAGCAGTGGTCGAAAAATGAAAAATAAACATACCGTAGGATTACAGCGAATGCTGATACTGGATTCGTTGACCTAAACAAAAGCTCTATCAGCGAACGCGGGAAAAAAAAGTAGAGCTAACTCTTCAGTGATACTGCGTAACGTATTGCAAGCATTTCAAGGAAATAAAAAACACAATTACTCACGGGTATGTCGACGTTCCTCTGCGTATTATTTGCCAGTCAGTTTCGAATGAAAGGCCCGAGAACAACAAGTAGGGCAGTGTGTGAAAATACCAACTGTAGAACTGATAGTGCAGCGAACGAGCAACACAAATACCAATAAAATTGGCTGTGAAAAGTGCGACAAGCATTTCTGAAAATATATGCAAAATAGACAGTAAATATGGTAGTGTTAAAGACAGTTAGCTTCCTAACGAATACTAAATTTTTGCCCAGATCTGCTATCTAAAGATTCCAATTTCTGAAAAAAGGAAGATAAAAACTGACTGATTTACACTTCACAAAATCTAAATTGCTCATCATACTTATTGTAGAGCAATGAAACAGAGTTAACTTCTTGAAGTTTAAACAGAGAAGCTTCTTTGCAGCAGCTAAATAAATGAATATAACTACATTGCTAGGATCATCAGAAAAATTCAAAAAAAAAAAATATATGTATATCATGCTGATTTCTTCCCAATGATCCAGAGATGGAGAGATCTAGAGAACTCATGCTCAAAGATCTAGAGAAGTAGCAATGTTCAGGACAAGATACTGATGCTCAAAACCTATCCGAGGCACATCTCGGGACGGAAAATCATGTTTGTTGCTATTACACATATTTTTGCGAACATAACATTTGATAATGCATTGTTGAGCCGCTTCAGCTGTTTAAAACAAGTCCCCTTACTAACGAGAAGGCCTTGTTAGCATAGTAAATAAGCTCAGGCTTCATCGACGCATTGAAATAAGATGAGCAACGTACCGTTGACGCTCAGCCGTGCTCGTAAGCCAAGCCAGACTTTTTGCATCATACGCAAATAACCGCCATAATGCCTAAAGCTGGTGAAAAATCAACAAAACCAGCAATGAGAAAAAGAAAAAGCAGAATACTGGAAAAATAAATTCGCTGAGGAAAAATAAATTTATTAGAAAAGAAAAGAAATATACCTAAACCATAAATATCCGGCAATCGTAAGCAG